AGAACTCCCTCAAACTTTACCCTTAACTCTATCTTGAATTTGAAAATTTGAATTCAAGAATGATTTGGATATACGGATTTCTCAATGATTATATGTAGTTTGAATAGTTATAATTAGGAAAAGAGCGAAGATACATTTTAAAAGAACTTAGACGGAACGAACGATGGAAAATGAATGGGGGCAGGCGACTTTGGCGCATTCCTGGCGAAGGGCGCCAACCCCACCTCGACTGCAGCCTATTTCTGGCGCACTACAGGCGTGGTGTGCTAGCCTCCCTGGCGCATCAGTGGCGCGTCGCGCCACCCCTTCCCCAGATTAATCTAACGAATTTTTCTTCTTGATTTTTTGCCCTAATTCACCTAGAATCGATTGATTTCTTGCAAGCTCTCTTAGATTCGTATGCCCAACATAAGTAGATGAAAACTTACTCAAATCTCCTCAAGAACAATTCTCAAACTCAAACCCTTGCCTCAAGAACTCATCAAACCTCCAATAATAAAGATTGAAGAACGAAACTTTCAAGAGAACTCAACAAGAAACTCAATATACGAAATCTTATGAATGAATTCGAATGGAAAACTCATGATTGGCGTGAGGGTGAACTAATCCATAACTATGAAAACTTACACACCTAGTAAGGATCAAATCCTTGACGAAATTCCTCGAAGATCATAAGAATCTTGAATGAACGCTTGAACTTTTCCTTTTTCTCCTCTTGAACTTCTCTCTAAAACCCTAAGCGTGTTTAGGAATTGTGAAAACTGATCTCAATCAGTTTAGACCCCTATTTAGGTAAGCAAAACGTATGAACTTAGTGGGGTAAGGAAAATACAAAAATATCCCTCCTTAAATTCGGATGAATTTCCTTAATCGGACAGGCTGAGTTCAAACGGACATATCTCCCTCGTTCGAATTTGGAATTTAGAAAATTCGGTGTCGTTGGAAAGAGGACTCAAAGATCGTTCATTTGATAGCTCATGGGCTACCTAAATCATCTTGTGCTTAAAGTTATGGTTGTTGGAAGTTGACCCAAAACTCACCATTGAAGATTAACCTGCACAAATCTCCAATTGGGCACTATTTCTAATTTAGTTCTTTTTAAAATTAGCTATTTCTAAGACCGAGGTGTTATAGGTATGATGACGCTAGAGTTGGAGATGAAGTCAATTGTGTGCCGGTTGTTATGGCTGGAGGTTTTGGTGTTTTTAGGTTGGTTCTAATTGAAATGGTTAATACAAAGATTAACCCCAAAGTCAAGTCCTACTATCTTTTTCAGTGATATACTCCCAATTCCTCTGCTCTCGCCTTTTGTCTTGTTGGCCTCTCTACTTGTATGACCATTGGAATTGAATTGTTCCCAACGCTTGGAGAGAAATTTGGGAGAGAGAAAAGAGAGGTTAATTTGGAGTATTGGGGAGATGGTTGATGAGAGAGAAAGATACTTGATTATTATTGGACCTTTAACTGTGGTGTTTAAATATAAAGATAATTAATTAATCCTAGTTTTAAGGGAATTGTGTATCTTATTGTATTTTATTAATATATTATATAAAATATTAAAAGTGGTAATATATGTAATTGTTTAAAAGTAGAGGTAAAATTAGTATATATGATAGTAACGTATATCTAGTTAGGTAGTTTTTCCTAAAAAGTAATTCACTCGGTGTCCAAAGCCTACATTGAATTCTCGACTAAATCCAAATCGCACATTGCAGGGCCCATTTGGGAGTGACACTCCCAGTAAGATTTTATCCATACCTAAGACTCAAACCCGAATTGATTAATGATAAATCAATCCCACCACTATATGACAACCCATAAGAATGTATTGTTCAATGGGAGATGATTCTGGTCAAATAGCTTGCAATGCTCAACTCCATGTCATGAGCGCGTGTAGCTAGTTCTTCAAAAGTTCGAGGCTTAATTCCTTGAAGGATATATACAAGGCCCCAATGCATTCCTTGTATGCAAATTTCAACTGCAGAGATTTCAGAAAGTTGGTCCTTGCAATCTAAGCTCAACATTCGCCAACGATTGATGTAGTCCACTATGAGTTCATCCTTACTTTGTTTTGTGTTTGTCAATTCCATCATGCTCACTGTACGACGGGTACTGTAGAAACAATTGAGAAATTGATTTTCCAATTGCTCCCAACAATCAATTGATTCAGGCTCTAAGTATGTATACCAATCAAAGGCGTTTTCATTCAAAGAACGAACAAACTGCTTGACAAGAAGATCACCATGTGTATCGAAACTGCTACAAGTCTTGACGAAATGGGCAATATGTTGCCTTGGATTTCCCCTTCCATCAAAATTGTTGCAATTTTTGGTGGTTGATATCTAGTTGGCATCAGTAGACCCTCGATTCGCTTAGAATATGGCTTTGAATATCCTAAGGAACTTTGTGGTGGGCCACCATATTGAGCTTTTAATGGTGTTTTGTGATCATGTCTTATAGTTGTTGAACTGTTAGAGTAGCCACTGAAGCAGATCGCTTTGTGCTTTGAGAGTTAATTGGCTTGGTGGGAGAATCAATGTCAAAATTTTCTTGTATTGTTAGAATATGATGTGACTCTCCAAAGTTGTAGAGATCTAACTTTCTCATAAGTTGGGTGATTTGGAGATTTTTGTCATCAATAGACTTCTTCAAGGCTTCAATGGTTTGCTCCATCATTGCAAACTTCTCGTCCATGTCAATTGCGTCAATCATCAAGGGGTTAACCTTTGTTGAAACTGAAGAATCCGTTGAATTCTTATATTCACCAAAGTTGAAGTCAGAGTGAGAAAGTTCATCAAACAACTTAGATGCGATGTTGCCCCATGGATTGCAGTTTTGAGTGTCATTTGAGACTTGATCTTTCTTGCCATCTCCAAAGAGGAATAGTATTCAGATCTATCCGAACCACTAGTCTTGAACTTATGTAGATTGACTGGACCAGCATCACTAAGATCAACAAGTGTGGCAATAGTAGAATCCTTGCATGAAACATCATTGATCTTTTTGAAGGCCATTGCAAAGTTGAACTTGTAGTTTTTTTTTACAAGAGGAAGAGATGAAGAGCAGAATTGGTCCCACTGGGCGTGCCAAATTTGTTCGCAATAAATTTTCATAAGCGCTGAAAATTAATTGCAAGCAAAATAAATAAAATAAATGTTATTTTTATTGATGAATCGTTGTGAGTACAATTCTGTTGTTCTCTTGATTCTTCTCTCCCAAGCTTCTCCAAGATTAGAGGGATTTCAATAGTGTACTTCTCGAATTTTTTGATGATGTAGACCTCCTTGAGATGTTGTTGATCTCCGGGAACGTTGGAAAGTGCTTCGTCGTTTTAAGTCGATCTCCAAGAAGAACTCCGTTGATCACTCCTTTGAAGAGTTATGTAGTTGATGTTGTAGCTTTCTCCAATTGTAGAATGCTTCTTGAAGAGTTTTCTTTTCTCCTAAGCTTCTCCGTGATTCGAGGGCCTTCAGTAGCGTATTTCTCGAATGTAGGATGATGTAGACCTCCTTGAGATGTATTTGATCTCCCGGAACGTTGGAAAGCACTTCGTCGTTGCAAGTTGATCTCCGGGAAGAACTCCGTTGATCACTCCTTCAAAGAGCTATGCAGTTGGTGTTGTAGCTTTAATTTCTCCAATTGTAGAATGCTTTTTGAAGGGTCTTCTTCTTCCCCTAGAATGTCATGTACATCCTCTATTTATAATTGTAGGGAGTGGACAAGGTTGCTTGTGATTGGCCAAAAGATGTCATTTTGACACTTGGCGGATTATGATTGGTTCTTACATTTGACTAGGACTACCACCTCATTTGGACACGTGGCATC